TTACATTAATTTAAATTTCTCAACGATTGTTCAAAATTATAGAATTTCCAAGTTTCCTAATTTAAATAAAAATTATAAACACTTCCAACCTATTAAAAATATCCGAATTAATAAAAATACACTTAAATCTGAAAAAGATTCGCGTTACTTCCAATATATTCGTTCGAAGAAACTTTTACTTTTATTAATTTATTCTCACCTGGGACTCGAGTCGAGAAAGGGATCCATAAACGCATCAATTTGAAAAGCGTATCAGAGAGAAATCCAAAGAGCCTCGAGGAATTCGAGGAGGGTGCCAAGGGAGTGTATATATAAAATGGAAGGGGGTGGTCGGTCTCGTGTATCGTTTTGTATTTGTTGAAAACAGTCGTATTGTCGGCGGGGGGTGAGAAAAATCGGCGAGGGGGGAGATTGCCCTGTAGGCACCCCGTCGCATCTGCCTTCGATTTATTTCCAATCGTAATTGATGACTGCTGGGCCCCCGGCCATCTCCTTTCCACCATCGATTTCGGCCATCCTCGAGTGGCGCGGGGGGGGAGGGTGACTCTCGACGGGAAATCGTGTCGTGATTTTGCATAATGGAGGCAAAAAGTCACGGCTCCTGTCAATAAATTACCCTGCCACTCCGTATATACGCGCCTCGTCCATCGTCGTTGATTTATTTCCAAATCGATCCTCCACTCGAAATACCTTCGCCACCATTTTTCAGTTTCCGTGCAAACGTGTTAAACGACCGATCCCCTTTATATTGTCAATCTCATCACACAGGTACACAGGTATTTATTTACGATCCCTTTATTCGGGACAAATATTCGGAGAATTAAAGTTTTTCCTACAACAACCTTTGAAAAATTAATTGTTTATAATCTCTTATATTAGTGTATTTACTACGCATTAATCATCGGGATTATTCGAATTGTACGTTTTATAAAAGTATACCTATTCGTAAGTTTCTTGCAAGAAGAACAATTTTATTTTTTTACAAATTTTATTGTTGTTAAGATCACGATTATTATTGTTGTTATCATCGAATTTTATATTTCAAAAGTTTTAATTCACGATCTTATCGAATAATAATGTTATTAATTAAATTTGTGTCGAAGTTTAATCATCGAGATTAAGGAGATTATTATTGGAATTGTATGTTTACGTTCTTTCGAGGAACAGCCAGGTATAAAAGTAACTCATTTGTACGTCTCTTCGGGAACAAATGGCAATTTTCTTTTTGATTGTAAATCTTATTATTATCAAGATCACGAAATTATTGTTATCATTCAAAAATTTTCGTTTTAATTCACGATCTTGTCGGATAATAATGTTTTATTAAATTTATATCGAAGTTTCCTTATTACAATTTTATATAAATAAATCCATCATTGAAATTATTATTATCATTTTATATTTCGAAAATTTTTTTTCTAATTCACGATCTTATTAAATAATAACGTTATTAATTAAATTTATATCGAAATAATCATCGAGATCCCAGGGATTATTATATTCTTCTTCTAATTCACCATTTATTCACTTTCTTCCATCCTTAATAATTGTTGTCAAATGATTATAATCGAGAATCATTCCGCCAAATAGAAATAAAAGTATGTATCTCTTCATAGACAGATCACACTTTCTCGGAAAACGAGTAACCAATTTTCCGTTGGTTTCGCGATCTCGTGGCTCGTGGGAAGTGACAACGGTCCTCGTTCCCCCCGTATCGGTTCTCCACGTGTAAGGCTTCTTATAAGAATTCCGACGCTCGCATTATCGTCTTACATCGAGCCGATATACTCTTCTTAATTATCCCCCTCCCCACTCCTCTTTTTAAAAAATTTCAACAACTCGAAAGAGACAGAGAGAGAGAGAGAGAGACCCTTCCATTATCATCCATTATCCAATCATCCATTATACCAATTTAAAAAGAAAAAAAAGACACGTCCTTTTATCCTCCATAATGACAAGTATCCCGAAAATAATCCAATAGCATATCCAATTTGGAATGGAGGAATTCGATGTTGCGAAGGATGGGGGAAGGGGGACGATTTAGCTGGGAAACAATAAAAGCAGATTTACCGGGGGTGATTTCCGGATGATTCCCATTTGATAGGATCAACGGTGCTCGATACCCGTGTACGTTTCTACGCCCGAACGCCCACGGCATTATTCCAGAAAATAACCCCTCCGACGCAGAGCTCCCCTCCCCTAGTCGACACGTATAGCCAGTGTATATAAGTGTAGGTGCGCATGCGCGCACGCTTCGTACGCGCACGACGCACGTCGAGTATCGGTTCGATCGTCTCTCCTCCTCGATCGTTCAATTGTACACTCGTTGCCTTTCCAACGATTGTTATTTCTCTCTCTCCTTTCCTGCCCGAGAGAGGAAATTATTATTGGTGCGTTTATATAGTGTCTTTTTACCAAATTTCTTCTCCCTTTCTCTCTTGTTTCTCGGAGGATTTTTCCGGAATTTTTTTTCTGAAATTATTGTTCGAACTCTCGGTGTTCTTAGTTTTCTTCTTCTTCGAAGAACGATGATATAAGTTGCAGATAGAAAGATAAAAGGTGACTAAAGAAAGACTGTTATTTACAGGGAAAGGTAAAGCAAAGATTCTTACAGTGATATCTCGATTATCCTTACTTTTAATTATTTATCCAAAGGAGAATCAATTTATAATTTTTCCCCCATTTTTCCAATTTATTTTTTCCAAAATGAGAGATTCGATCGGTATTTTTTATCGAGGAAAGAAGAAGGGAGACGAATGAAAACGACTGGAATGGACACGATTGTTCGACGGAAAATTACGTTTAATCAATAAACAGCTTTATACAATCGACGAGGCGTCGAGGATCGTCGCGCGTTATCTCTCACGTTCTCTCTCTCTCTCACACACACATTCTCTCTCTCTCTCTCTCTCTCTCTCTCTCTCTCTCTCCCTCCCCCCCCCCCCCCCTCTCCCCCCCCTCCCCCCCCCCCCCCCCCCCCCCCCCCCCCTCTCTCTCTCTCCCGCTTTTTCCCCCTGTTCGCGATCCCGGAATGGAGAAGCCGCCTGGTTACAAATTAACCTAACTCTTTACAAATATGTACAATGCAACGTAAGAGATCGTCGGGCATCGCTCTTATGCATATATATATATATATTCGACGAATCTTCGCTCACTCGCTCGCGAGGAATTCCGAAAGAGAGGGAGGGGGGAAGGGGAATCCCCATGTGAATCATGCTCCTCTTTCGTTAAACATGACGCACGCCCTTCCATCTCTCTTCCATATACCTCCTCCCGAAAATTCCAATTCGCGTCGATGTTTTTTTTTTTTTTTCGTTAAAAAAAATCGTGCGATCCTCCTCTTTTTTCTCTTTCCTATTCTTCTAATTTTTTCTAAATCGAAGGAAACGGGGTAGGGGAGGGGAGGAGGAGGGTAAAGCATTACGAACAATGCATAAAATGATTCGATCTAATTTGCACGTTTTGACGAAAAAACGAACGATTCGATTTAATTGAATTTGAATACCAACTCGAGTCGAAAGGAAATATATATATATATATGGATCGTAAGAATAAAATGAATATTTCATACTCTATTAGTATTACTTAATCGAATATATAAACAATATATCTATATCTTTCTACCATATTAATTAATATTGGCAATAAAAGTTTGTTGGAAAAATAAGGAAAGTTTCGAATCGAATCGAATCGATCGCAGATTCTGATACGCTGATATGTAAAATCGGAGCCAAGACTCGAGCGACATTATCTTTTCTCCAGATGGGGAGGGAGGAGGGGGGAAAGAAAAAGAAAAAAAAAAACTTCGTCGAAAGGGAGGGAAAAAAATTCGTTGCACGGCTTGACGAATGCGATTAGGACAGGAACAATCGTAAAGTTCGTGATTAATCCTCTTCTCTCTCCTTTACGTTTGTTACTGTTAACGAGGTACATCATTCATCTAACGATATTATCCTTACACCTATTACGATATATCTTCGTCAACGAGAAAAACAAAAATACGAAATACATATATATATGTATATATATATATACATAATATATATATGGAATCGAATAGAAAGAACTCTCTGAGCTCGGCAATAGTGCGATTACTCGCTTCGTTTCGATGAATAATAATATATAATTGGACGCAACATCGTAAATAATTTTTCAACGAATTTTCTAATAGAAAAATGTAAATTAAAAAGAAAAAAAAAAAGCGAACGAACTCGTTCCTTAAATGCTACACGATGCGATCCTTATTATCGTTAATTGTACATAAGAAATTCGGCGGTTGCGGTTTACGTGTATTACGGTATTTACGAATAGTATTTCTCGTTCGATGACGATAACGAACACGTCGCTTAAATTCTAACGATGATCATTGATCATACATTGACGATCGAGCGTCACTTGAATCGTACGCGTGATGTCGATCACATTATAAAACTCTTTGTTTGGAAGGGGGGAGGGGAGGGACGATGCACGGAAACCACGGTAGAAAGGAACGATCGGAGTTACGAGGATTTCGATATAGTTTATTTTCATAAATGAACGAGATAAGATTTTTTTTTCTCTCTCTCTCTCCAATATATAGAATTACATTAATTCGTATCGTATCCCGAAAATAATAAATGGAATTACAGAATTCGAATTAGAAATTGAATAATATACCCACCAATTTCCCCCAAAATAATTTAAATAAATTTTAAATAATTTCAAGATTCCTTTATCGAATCTACTTGAAAAAAGAAAAAAAATGAATCAAAATTCAATATATATATATAATGAATAAACGATCGTTCTTCTCTCATCACAGACATCTGCCCACAGATCCATCCATCCATCCATCCGAACGAATCGTCGTTCAAATATCCTTCTCTCCTCCTCCCGCGACTCTTCGTCCCTCTTCTTCCTCTTCCTCTTCCTCTTCTTTTTTTCTCCTCGAGGAAGCGGAGTGTCGCTGCCAGATCGAAAAGAGCTCAACTAGTCTCAGTGGTGGCGGCCTTCTCGCTGCCTCAGTAAGCCCTCAGCCTCACCTCCATCTCTGGATCCTG